GTTTAAGTGATCATGAAACAAATCTGTAAATGAATTGGAATTATCTTTCACATCTAGCTCGCTATGGTCAAATGTATGACAAGGCAACAGAGCAATCAAGTAGCGTTTATATGGGAATGACTAAAAAAATTCTCCACATCTTCATACAGAATCAAAACAAACGGAAGTAGACCTTCTTGAGAATACAATACAGCTACACAACAATGACATAATTAAGAACTCACTGAGACAATGGTGTTTGCATGGCCAAGGTATCTCTGGACAGAAGCGCCTTCGCAGATAACAAGACTTGCATTACAACCTATAAACCAAGAATCGATGACCTTTGCTCCTTGATCTCCAGCAATCCTCAACACCTAAACAAACAACATTTATTTAACGAGACTCACGATAAAAGATTGTGCAAGTTGAGGGTACCCAATGAGATACAAAAAAGACAAAAGTATTATTTGAATTACAGAGCCTGCAAGTTACCTTAAGTCGGAGCTCATCCGAAATGTCTGAATCGACATACATGGAATAGTCAGAAAGAGTCATGTCTTCACTAGTGCCAGACTCTGTTCCAGAAGAAGATACTTGGTTGTACTTCGTTGCTGTGCCAAAATGTAGAGCTTGCTGAATTGTACGGGGACGGCAAATAGGTTCAAGATCAAAAACCCGGCTCAGCTCATCCACCTTCTCGCTATTGTGTCTAATTTGTTTGACATTGTAGAGCGATTCGCTCATCCTAACTACAATATCACGAAATACCAATATCAGCTATATAATTTGAGAATCACAAATAACTGAGAACATGGTTGAGAACTTACGGTTTCTCCTGACACTATCAACAAACCAGCCAATTGTGACAACAAAGAGGCCGTTTCTGGCCCCATGTTTCAAAGTGTGCTCGAACTTACGTCCACGCGAGCTGTAAGCTTTCGTTAAGCATCCCAAAAAGAACCAACAAGAATACAAATAATCTCAAGAATGTTTGGACTTGTAGTCAAAAGCAAAAAAATACAAGTTGCAATAGAAATGAATAGAAGAAAAGGATATCTGAACAACCAAATGGGTACAATGCGAGTGAAGATGGGGACTGTACTCGCCTCCAAGTCTCTCTGTCGCTTCCTTGACTTGTTTTCTTGCATCTGCGAAAGAAAATAACATTCCATACATTATGATTAAAACCCCAATTCAAGAACATAAATCCAAAAGTTGCCAAGTAAGAGTGATGAAGATAAATCTCCAAACTTGATGGAATCAAATCATCAAACTCATAGCGGAAAGCAAGGGAAGCCAAGTAGAGATTGAAAATGATGAAATTGAGGACCTTTGGATAAACCAGTGACGCATATGACAAGAGTAGAGAAAGGTCCATCGGGGAGAGACATGGGAGGAGGAGATAGTAAGAAAGGAACCAACTTGGAACAACCCTTTGTGTCGATCAGACCAACGTTTCTTCTGAGAGGAACCATTGTTGGTAGAGAAACCCTAAACCTCGACTCTTGGCTTTGTAATTATACCTTAATTCAAAACAAGGAATCATTGCAGAAAGCCTTTAAAAAGGAGGGAGTCAAATCAAAAGAAGATCACTTTCTCAGAGAAAAGAAATCGGGACATGTAAGAAGAACATGAAAAGGATTTCATTCAAAAAAAGCAAAAAAGAGGGTTTAGGGTTTAGTGATTGTGGACAAAATGGTGCTTTAACAATCTCCGAGTGAAGGGGGGGGGGGGGG